GCCGGAGAGAGAAGAGAGGAGAGAGGAGGGTTTTAAAATACCAAAAATATCCTTGCATTAAGATTTTAATTTAAAATTACCAAATTTATAAATTTCCTAATTTATCTATTGATTTGTGGTTAATATTGGTTCTCACAGTTAACACAAACAACTCAGTTCTCCCTTGAATAGGCCCATATATATATATATATATATATATATATATATATATAGTTTTAATTTATATCTCGTCAAAATCAATCTATCTATAATACTGATATAGATGCACCAGGACCTTCAAAAATATTGGAATACTCTAGATGCCACCTCATATTTACCGACACCATGAAGGATTGGAAGGTTAAATTAGATAAGATGGGTACGAAAGAGGTACAATCGAAAGTCTTACTCTAAATCTGAACTAAGATAAATTTAGGGTTGGTTTGTTTTTTCAAAATTACTTCTTAATACTTCTGGAGTGTGATTCATTCAGACGTGTAGGTATTAAGAGTCGTTGTTTTGTTTCTAAAATAAGAGCTTAAAAGTTCTAAATGTTCTCTGAAATTTTAAATGGTAAACGAATCCCTTAATACCTTTTAATCCTAATCTGCCCTCTAGTAAATAGTTCATATTTTGGAGGCTGAAAGAGATTTGTTAGCAAAAACTATTTATCTTTTATACTTTTATAAAAAAAAAACTATTTATCTTTTATATTTTTGCATTAGTTTGACCGATTTAGATTTTAGACTTCAGACGTAAAAACAAACAATCTTACTGATCCATATTTCATGCTTCAGGACCATCTCTTATAAATCAGAAGTGAAATCAGACTTCAGACTTCAGCATCTTTTAAAAACCAAACGCCACCTTAGTTAATTTTAATGAATCTTGTCCATTTCTAAAATGACTCATTTTCATGATGTATCGATCAGATAATTAGTTTAGAGAAATTGACTAAACTAGCTATTTTAGACGAGTTTTTTTCACTTTTTAGCCCATTTTCTCGTATGAATCAAAATAGTCAAGATTTTGCAAGTGCTTATTTTGCACCTTATGAAATGTACTTCTTATTAATAAAATACGATTATGGTAGTCATTTTGCAAGGACCGAAATTTTACCCACATTACAACAAAATTGAGTTTATAGGACGTCTAGGATGTTTAAACGTTCTAATAGAGTGTTTTATAAGACTTAATTTCATAGAACTAAAAGATAAAACATCCTATTTAAAAGTATTACAATACGTTTATAGAACGTTTTTAAGCATTCTAACAAGTTTTTTAGGACCATTTTAAAATGAAGTGTCGTATTAGCCATTTTATAGGACGCTTTTTGAAAAAGAATCCTATAAACATAAGTGTCCTATAAAAGATATGTTTATCGGACACTTCTCAAAAGCATCTTATAAAATAGCGAAACCCACGCTTCAATTTAAAAGCGTCTGTTACGACGCCCAGAAATGTCCTATAAACTTATTGTAACACTTTTAGATATGACATTTCATTTTTTGGTCCTATAAAATTGAGTCATATAGGGCATTGCTATTAGGACGCTTAAACATTTTTGACGTCCTACAAACTCAATTTTATTGTAGTGCGGGTAAGGAGACATATATGGCATACATATAAAAAAAAAGAGGCATATATAACTAGGGGTGTATAAAAAACCGTCAAACTGCTCAACCTACCAAACCCAACCCACTAACAACTCAATTAAACTTAACCGACAGTGAAAAACCGTAGGGAAATTTCCTACAGATCACCGATGGCCACATGAATTACAAAAATATATTTTTAAATTCATTGGTAATCCGTCGATGATTTGTGAAGGATCACCGATGTCCACGTGGATTTCCATTTTAAATAAAAATATTTTAAAATCCATTGGTGATTTGCTACGGAACACGGACGGCCACATGGAGTTCCATTTAAAATAGCTAATACGACACATTGTTTGAAAAACGTTTTAAATAACTCGTTGAAATGTCCAAAAACATCCTATAAGCCTATTGTAACATTTTTAGATAAGTCACTTTATAGTTTGGTCCTATAAATAAATGAGTTTATAGGACATTTCAATTTCAAATATGTTTTATAAAATAGCTAATACAAGAATTTGTTTAAAAAACGTTTTAAAAAACTTGTTGAAACAACCAAAAGCGTCCTATAAACAAATTGTAACATTTTTAGATACAACGTTTTATAGTTTAGTCCTATAAACTTAAGTCTTATAAAATATTTCATTGGCCAATTTTATGCAACTGCTAACCTGCCCCAACCCGCAAGGGCTCGGCTGAGATTTTTCCAAACCACCATAATTGAGTTGCAATTTGTGCAAAGTAGAAACTTGCTTTGAATTCACTTTCACATTTTTGGGCACTTTTATAATCTTTGGAACTCGTGTGCTAGGGAAGAAAGCTTGATGTCGTCTAAGGTTCGGATTAAGATCACAGTTTTCATTTATTGATATCATTTCGAGATCGTTACATGTTATCTTTCTTGTCCAATCTGTGGACGTGCTGAAAGAAAAACGATAAATAAAAGTGAAAAAGAAAACGATACAACATTAAAGAATTACTTCTAATTATCGTCAATGAACATTAACGGCTCGACAATTTTTCCTGACTTCTCCTTGACCATCAGTAAGGACTTCAATAGCGCCCATTCGCACCATGGACCGAGCAAACTTAGCAAAGAAAACCATAGGGTTTTCTAAAGATTTTACCACCATAGCCGATTCTTGGTTTGTGAGTAAAGCTGCATCCGATACAAACAAACCCTTATGTTTGTTTAAAGACCTGAAGTAATCAGAATCGAAGGAGAGAGCACTATTAGGATCCATTTCAAGAGCAGTGGTTGGATTCTGAGGGTTTGGACATATTTTTCTCAGTGTTTGTGCATAAGTCGCGTCAAGAGAAGGATCAGCGTCTCCTATTCCTGTAAAGTTGTAGAGCCTTCTTGCGACCAGGACACAACGTGAGAACCCAATTGTATGAGCCCCTAGTTGGATACATGGAAGTTCATTAATTTACATAAAAATAGATTAAAAAGATGTATATACATGCATGCATGTACTTTCATACATATATACACACACACATATATGTATATATATATATATAAATAAGGTTGTATATATACCTGAAAGTGTTACAAGATCAATAAGGTTAAGGCCTTTGACTCCAAATTGGGTCAAGAGAGTTGTGAAATTGGCATTTCCAGATGGTAAATTCGGACGAACTTCCGCCTCCAACGAGATGTTTCCATCTTTTCTGCCGGTGAAAACTGGCCACATGTCCATTTGAAACTGCGATTTTCCAATAAGGATGAAAACCGTCAAATTTTTAGTTGTTTGTAAGACAATATTGTTTTTAGAAACACTGGGATTTTCCCGACTGTATTTCAGTGCTCGATAAATTAATAGAAGTACGTATAAATTGATTCAGACACTCAGTTAAAAACTAACACATCCAGAATAATGAAACTCTCCCATGTCTATTCATCCCCATAATGGACTATGTGATATTGTCCAAATAAAAATAACACATCTTCTATTTTATATTTTAAAGATTCATTAATTTCCAAATTTATATATTTTTAAATTAACATTTTTCATAAGACCATGGTCAGGTCAGTGTAGTTTTCTATAACCTTTCAGTGTCGTCTTGGTAAAAGTTATTTCAGGTATCTGATAGTTAATAATCAAAATACATTCTATGAAGTTCTTTTATGTTCATATTTATTGTAAAGATGAACTTATTTTTCTCAATTACTGTAACGAACTACCAAATTTTCCTCTATACATTCTGTATTTAGACTAAATTGGAATTAAAACATATTTTGTTTGCATTTTGATGCATTTTGCTATTAATCAAATTCGCCATATTAAAAGCTATTCAACAGATCTTATGTCGTATTTTTTAAGCACGAGAAGTATAAGATTAGAATTAGGGGTGCTCACGGCCCGGGTTGATCGGTTTGGAGCCGTTTTAGTAACCCAACCCAATGTTGGCGGTTTGAAAATTTTCAACCCAACCCAACCCAAACAAAAGTTCAACCCAACCCAACCCAACCCGTTCGGGTTGGTCGGGTTGATCGGGTTGTGTTTAAACAATGTAAAATCACATAAAAATAAAGGAAACTTTCCTTTGAAATACGGCCGACTATTCAAGATAATATGCAAGTTCATCAAATATTTAGATATTACGATAAAAATATTCAAACCAAATGATAATACATCAATCAACAACAATAGTTTTAGACGTTTCCAACCCCGATGCTTTCGCTTTCTTAACGTTGAGGTTGGTCATGTCATGATTGTCATCTATAATTCAAAGCTAAAGTTAAGGTCGGGTTCATCGGGTTGGTCGGGTTTTTTTGGGCCTGACCCGATGTCAACCCAATAAGGTCGGGTTGGCTAATTTTTTTATCGATCATGCATCGGGTTACCTCGGGTTGGGTGTTTTTTTAAAAATTCGGGTTGGGTTGGTCGGGTTCATTGGGTTCATCGGGTTTTTGAGCACCCCTAATTAGAATGATGATCATCTATGTATTTGATACTGTAATGTTTGATTTCACATATAATTTAAAATGATACAGTTAATGTATCTTACTTGGAAGGAAACAGCATCCCTAGCTGCCAATGCAAGAATGTCAGCACAAGAAACAATTCCAGGACAACTGGCCTCTAATGTTGTTTTTATTTCATCAATAACATCATATCCAGAAACAGATCTGTTAGGTCCTGCAGTCTTTTCTGCAGTCTTATTTTGCGCGGGATCTAACAGAATCGAAGCGTCACACCCCTGCAATTGTGAACAAGTTAGGAGAACAGAGAACAACTTTTGAAGTGGGATCATAATTTTGAACGAGTGAGCATAAGGGTGCTTTGTCAATCCAATTTGAACCCATTTGGGGTATGACTGGACTAGGATCTAATAGAATCTTTGAACCCAGTGATTCTGGGTTCAAAGCTTAACACCATAACTAAGTTGGGTGAAATTTCTATTATTCCTCTATTGACTATTTGACGTATCTCTAGTAATTAACTGAACAATATAAAGAAAACGCTGATGAAGTACTTACCCTAACAAAGCAATCATGATAGTGAAGCCTTAGAAGCTTGGCCGCCAGGGCAGGACTTTCAGCAACTTTGCTCCATACAATCTCTTTTATTGTATTTTCAACCACAACCGAACCACACTGTTTCTTATAATAGTTCATCTTCAACCCCTCATCTTCCTTATCACCATCATGACCACGACCACGACCATGATCACGTCCACGAGCACGACCATGGCCATGATCATGTCCACGAGCACGACCATGATCATGACCACCCATACATCCAACCACCAAAACAGAAGCAAACAAGAATCCAATAATACTTATCTTCATTTTTCTTTTTTTTTTTGGGTTGTTTCACTTGATGCCTTTGAGTTTGAAACCACATCTAACTCAAACCCTTTATATAGACATGCCCATGTCAAATAATGAGATTTAATTCAACTCATACCACTTAAACCTTTTGACCTAAATAATTATGGATTCAAGTATGCGTAAATTTTCTATAGATTTTTTTTTGATAACCTGGATATCCAACCCGCTATGCGAGTCAACTAATCTCAGGACTACCACCTGCTTTGCAGGTAGCCCGGAGTCATTGCATTTGAACATCCGTGGCTACAAAGAGATTTTTATTTCTCCTTGGATTTGAACCTGAGACCTCTTGATACTTTTGACCTTTGAAGTCAAGCTCAAACCAATCAGACACCACTTTTGTGATTAATTTTCTATAGATTTATAACCTATGTGGATGTACATTTCCATGTAGTCATTAATATAACCGTTTTTAAAGTGGTCAAGGTGAAACTACTTCATTTTTAAGATTAAAATAATCAGATTTAAAAAAATATCATGTTAGTAATTATAAAAAAATTAATTATTAAAAATAAATATAAAATTATTTAATTATCCATAATTCTAATTAAATAATTAATTACAACAATAAATTTGAAAACCTACACTTGAATCAACCTATTGTCCATTAAATTCTTGATCCAAATAATATGGATTTAATTTTTCTTAATAAACAAAAACGTGGTTGTCAAATCATGGAATATATATTTTAATTATTCTATTAACATGGGATAAAATGATTGATTTAAAAAGTCAACCAATTAGTATGAGTACAAAGTTTGATTCAAAGTATAATTTAATTTAGGGGAAGGGAAAATGTATCTTTAATTCATCCTATTTTATCAGATTCGGGTTTCAGATTCAAGTGGTAGTTTCAGGGTCTTTAGTTTTTCAGATTTTATTCGAATCAAACGATTTGTGGCTGTCGAGAACGGAATTATATAAAACTAATTTTGTGTTTGAATTCTTAATGTGTATCCGGCTGTCCCGTTTGAAGTTTAAGTTGTTTATAAATATGTAGGACCTACGTAACTTATTAGTAGAATTAGGATATGGTTTTTCGTCATTTAAGTAATAACCGATTTGCGCATTCCTTAGGCACGTGAGCAAGTCGAACTTTATCGTGAATCTCGTTTGATCGTGTTTTACTTCTCTATTCCGCCTAAGGTACAGATTTCATTTTCTTTGACCCTTGGACAACTAGTTGTTGTAGTTGACCCTTCATAACCTGGTTCACCACATTGTGATTAATCGTTTAAAAGTGGTCAACAAATTATGTGTGTGTGTGTGTGTGTATATATATATATATATATATATATATAAAAACTCTTGAATCATTATTGTGAACACTTGAGTTTAGTCTGTTGAATTGTATGTTTCGATCTTTCAAGTTTGTTAAATTGATTCTCATATTTTGAAGTAGTTTTGAATTTTATGAAATACTTTGAAGCTTGACTTTTTTTGAACGTCATCCGGATAAGTAACATATGTTTAGTTTTCGTTGTTTTCAACATCACCCAATTAATGGGCACATTATTTGGGATGCCTTCTATGACGGCTTTGTAGTCATGACGTCATGTAGGTGAACTTGGTCTACAAAGTTAGGTTCAATATTGGCTTACGTGAACCCACCTTGTGGACTATGCCGATCTTATTGGCTCCAGACGGATGGATTGATCTTAGGATTACCCACCATGTGACTGTGGTTAAATTCACGGGGGACTAGGATTCTGTGCCTGCACGCCGACCCGATAGTTCGTGTGGTTTGGCCACCCACGAACATTACAAGAATTGATGGATTTTTGTTTTTATTATGTTTGAAATGAGAATTGTGAAACATTTTGATTTTCTATGAATTCAGTTTAATTGAATTGTAAGTCTTCCGATTTATTATCGATGTTATCTATTATTATTTCAAGTTTATATTATAATCTGTTCACTGAGTCACGTGCTCAGCTGTGTTCTTGTTTTCTAACATGACAGGTTCTAAATGATACTCATAGAAACATGACTTGAGATTGAGCATTTGACTTTTGAAGTTTGTAAACTCTTTTGTAGATGTTAATATTCTAAGCTTATAAGTAGTTGTTAAAATGTAATATTTTGGGTGGTAAAACATGCTTTAAAAGTTAATCTACGTTTGGAGTTTATTAGTAGCTTTGTAATTTTTGTGTCTTTGAATTAAGTCTCGTTAGTAACACTGTCCGTTCCAGACCACAAGGACGGGGGATGTTACAATAATTATTAATAAATGTTAATAAAAATTAAGTATTACTAATATTGATTAATAGTAATTAATAGTAACTGAAAATTATTAATTAATTTAATTATACATTGTACATTAATATCAATCATCAATCATAGAGTTATTATTAAT